TGCAACTTTTATGTAGATTTATTTTGTTCAAATTTTGTAATCATTAGAGCAATAAAATAATAGTATATATAAATTATTCTGCTGATTTCACACAAAATTATACCTTGTCAAAAACTATCACGGTCGAGTAGCGTTTTTTGTGACTCGTATAGATGTAGTCTTGAAATTTTGGTCTTTTCTCATAATAATCATTCAAGTAATTATAATGATAACAATGAGAAACGGATAAATTTTGGAACATGTTATTCCCTAATTTACATCAGAAAACACAGTAGTACCTATATTGTATTATTTTTTTCATTGGTACAATTGGTCAAAGATTTGTTTCATTCAATTAATGAAAAACGTCAATGAAATATGTTCATTAAACAATGAAAAATTTTCAATAAATAATAAATATTGTTCATTAAACAATTAAAATTGTTCATTAAATAACGAATATTGTTCATTAAGCAAATGAATACATTTCATTGCGACAAAGACTTGTTTTCATTCGACTAATGAAAAGTTTCATTAAATCATGAATAAGTTTTTTATAATTTAATGTAACACTCTTCATTGAGACAATGAATTGGTTCATCAGCTGAAAATCCATAACTCAATTCATTGTCTCAATGTAGCTTTTCATTGTATTAATGTACATTTTTGGTTATAAACTTATTTGACAACAAGGTTTTATAACCTATTTGTCATGTTTGACATACAATTTCATAGCCGATTACTGAATTTTCGATGATTTTAAGTAACATTACGAAATACGTGTCTTTAAGTTATTTAGATAATTTTTACATAAATTATTTTTATAAGAAATCGTGGAAATCGATTTGGAGACGCGGTTCTGGTGAATTTATTGGATGCAGGAGATGTTATTTTCCCAAAATGGTTTAACAATTTAAAGGATCACTTAGATGAGTTAAACGAAAATCTGCCTACAACAGACATATATTTAGTTATAAAAAATTCTACTTCAGAATATCAAGAAGTTGAATTTGTAGAATGGTATATTAATAAGTGTATATTGTTACAGACAACGTCTCATAAAACATCATTATAATATTATGAAAACAATAAGAAATTTACTAATTTACTAATCAATTTAAGTAGATCGTCTGATAAAATTTAGTACGTGAATTTATTATTGAGTTTCTACTTTGCAGAAAATGTTTTCTTGTGAAAAATGTCAACAAGTGTTTTCATTGAAATGCAATTTGAATCGAAATATGCGTAATAAGCATTGTGTCGGACTGCAACTCATATGCTCAATATGTCAAAAAAAAATCAGGCGACAAGATGCCTTTGTTCAACATCGGAGAAGTATCCATGGTATTGAACCTCAACGAAAAGATCCACTACCAAATTTAATACAAAATTCAACACATCGAGATTTCGATGAATCAGCAGCAAGTACGTCAGCTTCGAAAAGTAAGATTAAATTGACAAATAAATTGTGTGACGTATGTGGAAAGTTTTTCTCATCTCACGCAACCCTTGCAGCACATCTTCGATCAGAACACATAACATCTATCGAAAAGGATGTTGAGCAAGTATCAACGTGTTACAAAAATCGTGTTGCCTGCTATAAAATTGGGGGAGTTGAAGCCGACGATGATATTCCATCATACCTCACAAGATCCCGAGAAACGGTTCGTAGACTTATAAACAATTATTTTAGTGAGATTAGAGGACCAGTTAAAGCTCAAATTGAACTATTGGCTGTTTTTATAAAATCCGGCTTTGATGAAAACGGTGAAGAAGGAGTGATAGCCTATATGAAGAATTTCAATACAAAATTTAAAGTAATTACGTCTATAACCTTCGAGGAAATTTACGATAAAATGTTTAGAGATATTATAAAACAGAGTGCGGATTTCCAGGAGCACGGATCTGAATGGGCTTTCTTTTCCGTATCATACCTTCTGCTTAACGTTAACAAATTCCAACCAATACCTGGATCATCATATATTCGTTTACCTTCCGAAATTATTAATAAAAAGGCCTGTATCAATATAAAGAATAATGATAACGCTTGTTTTGCATGGTGTTTGACGGCGGCTCTTCATCCCGCTTAAATAGGTAAGGTTCATACTTCGAGCTGCTATCCTCATTACTCCCAAGTGCTAAATTTAGAAGGTATAACACTTCCCGTTCATTTAAAAGATATATCCAAAATAGAAACTTTATATAATTTAAGTATTAACGTTTACGAATTAGTTTTTGATTCCATTAATTATACCTACAATGTGGAAGGACCCATTTATTTTACTAAAAATAGACGAGATACACATGTGAATTTATTATATTTATTTAATAATGGAATAGGGCATTTTGTTTTAATCAAAAATTTATCACGACATTTCTAAGTATATAGCAAATCATAACGGCTCAATACATCTTTGCAACGGGTGTTCAACTCGGTTTTCATCTGCCGATAAATTATCTAGACATCAACAATACAATTGCAACCATATAACGACCATTTTACCTTCGAAGAAATTAAAATCAATACCCAATTTTATGGGAAATTTAATGCCGGTGTGGCAACCACCACAATTATAAATTAAATCATAAATGAATTCATCAAAATATAAATCATAGTAATAAGTTCTTTTTTAACAAAAATTGTAAATCCATAGAGATACAAAAAGTGTTGTTTATTATTATTATTATAAAATAAAAAGTCAAGTCACGTTGTAACACAAATTGGTTTTAATCTCTTTTTAAATTGTCCCACAAATTGGTGACTCTTCCCACAAATTGGTGACTCTTCCCACAAATTGGTGACCCCGAACAAGAACTAACCCGACATCGAAAAAGAAGTAACCCAACGTTAAGTTATAAGAACCAATAAGAACCCGACGTTTTGGAGAAAGAAGTGAAAGATTTGACGTAAATTAGAATTGTCTTCGTCGTTTTCTTCATCCAATTCTCCCCAACCTCGCACCAGAGACCGAGACTGCTATTTTTCCACAACCACAACGACTTGGTGATACCTATCCAGCGACCATCCACGAGTCTACAACCGGATTTTTAGAGACGAAACCTACATTGCAGGTATTTCGATTTCTGGTAAGGGTTAATAAGTGTTGATGAGCAATATAATTATTTGAACCTAAATAAGTATCCTACCACAATCATGAATACTTCTGGTGATCAAACCGTTGACATTGTCACCAATATTAGATTGCCTCCCTTCTGGAATGCAAATCCTGCTGCATGGTTTCACCAAATTGAAGCGCAATTCAACCTGTCAAGAATAACTAATGATAAAACAAAATATAATTTGNAGATATGTATTAGATTTATATTATTTTTTTTATTTATAACGCTAAAGAAACTTACTACTCATCTCTATTTAGTTAGTATCTATTTAGTACTCGAAGATGATTGAGGACTTATTTACTTACTACTGAAATTGAATGGAATATATATGTATATATAACCGTTGATTTGGGGGAAACGATTTTTAAACAAAAGTATTTATTAACCTACTAAACACAAATGAAAGGTAAACTAACATATTTCAACATATTTTTTTAAATATTGAGTGTTTGTTAATATTTTGAAAATAAACAGATTAAAAATATATAACCGTTGAGTTGCGGAAACGATTTTTATACAAAAGTAGTTATGACCTAATAAACACAAGTGAAAGGCAAAAACTATCAACACATATCAACATATTTTTTTAATACTCTGAAAGCAAACAGATGAAAAAATGATAATTTTTACATGAATTATTTTTATAAGAAATCATAATATAAATACATCACCTTAAAAGATATAAGTCAGTTCAAGAAATAACACCAATAGCAACAGTCAACCACATAAAGAAGACCATGGATAGTCTAAGATTATTGAACAACACATCTAAGGGATTTGGAAAATTGAACCAATTGCAGAAGGAAAAAAGGTATAAAATTATTAACTTTAAAATAATAACAACAAGATTTGGAGACGCGGTTCTGGTGAATTTATTGGATGAAGGAGATGTTATTTTACCAAAACGGTTTAACAATTTAAAGGACAATTTGGATGAGTTAAACGAAAATCTGCTAACAAAAGACATATATTTAGTTATAAAAAATTCAACTTCAACATATCTAGAAGTTGAATTTATAGAATAGTATATTAATAAGTGTATATTGTATATTGTTACAGACAACGTCTCATAAAACTTCATTACAATATTAAAAACACACTAAGTAATTTGGATAAAAGAATGAAATATTATGAAATGTTGGAAATGTTTAAGAAAATAAAGATCAATAAATAGTGTATAAATCAATATATTTGTTTTATTTGTTAGTATTATGTATGTCAATTCGAAAGTGATAATTGTTCCAATTAAACAGTTTCACAACAATTAAAATATAAACTGTATAAATCAATACATTTTTTTATTCTATTTACTAATACTTATTACGTAAGCATAATCCCCTACTATACACCTACTATAGCGATAAAAAAACGATTCATATATATTAGAATCAAGTCGTTGGTGAAAGTTAGTTACAGTACGCAAGTTAAGTAGATCCTTTGATAAAAATTTATCATTGCGTTTATATTTTTAAGAAAATGTTTTCTTGTGAAAAATGTCAACAAGTGTTTTCATTAAAATGCAATTTGAATCGACATATGCGTAATAAGCATTGTGTCGGACTGCAACTCATATGCTCAATATGTCAAAAAAAATTCAGGCGACAAGATGCCTTTGTTCAACATCAGAGAAGTATCCATGGTATTGAACCTCAACGAAAAGATCCACTACCAAATTTAATACAAAATTCAACACATCGAGATTTCGATGAATCAGCAGCAAGTACGTCAGCTTCGAAAAGTAAGATTAAATTAACAAATAAACTATGTGACGTATGTGGAAAGTTCTTCTCATCTCACGCAACCCTTGCGGCACATCTTCGATCAGAACACATAACATCTATCGAAAAGGATGTTGAGCAAGTATCAACGTGTTACAAAAATCGTGTTGCCTGCTATAAAATTGGGGGAGTTGAAGCCGACGATGATATTCCATCATACCTCACAAGATCCCGAGAAACGGTTCGTAGACTTATAAACAATTATATTAGTGATATTAGAGGATTAGTTAAAGCTCAAATTGAACTATTGGCTGTTTTTATAAAATCCAGCTTTAATGAAAACGGTGAAGAGGGAGTGATAGCCTCCATGAAGAATTTCAATACAAAATTTAAAGTAATTACGTCTATAACCTTCGAGGAAATTTACGATAAGATGATTAGAGATATTATAAAACAGAGTGAGGATTTCCAGGAGCAAGGGTCTGGATGGGCTTTCTTCTCCGTATCACACCTTTTGCTTAACGTTAACAAATTCCAACCAATACCTGGATCATCATATATTCGTTTACCTTCGGAAATTATTAATAAAAAAGCCTGTATCAATATAAAGAATAATGATAACGCTTGTTTTGCATGGTGTTTGACGGCGGCTCTTCATCCCGCTCAAATAAGTAAGGTTCGTACTTCAAGCTATCCTCATTACTCTCAAGTGCTAAATTTAGAAGGTATAACGTTTCCCGTTCATTTAAAAGATATATCCAAAATAGAAACTTTAAATAATTTAAGTATTAACGTTTACGAATTAGTTTTTGATTCCATTAATTATACCTACAATGTGGAAGGACCCATTCATTTTACTAAAAATAGACGAGATACACATGTGAATTTATTATATTTATTTAATAATGGAATAGGGCATTTTGTTTTAATCAAAAATTTATCACGACTTATTTCTAAGCATATAGCAAATCATAACGGCGCAATACGTCTTTGCGACGGGTGTTTAACTCGGTTTTCATCTGCCGACAAATTATCTAGACATCAACAATACGATTGCAACCATATAACGACCATTTTACCATCGAAGAATTTAAAATCAATACCCAATTTTATGGGAAATTTAATGCCGGAAAATATTTTGGAATTTAATAATTATAAAAATACTCAAATGGTTCCATTTGTTATTTACGCTGATTTTGAATCAATTTTAAAACCAATCGAGCATTGTGAACCCGATTTCTCCAAGTCTTTTACAGAAAAAGTTGACATACATCAACCATACAGTTTTGCATACTATATCGTTTCTACTGTAGATGGTACTTGTTGTAAATTTGAAACCTATACCGGCCTCGACTGTCCCAAAGTTTTCATTTTAAAATTAATGGAAGATGTTAGATATATTTATCACAAATATATAAAATATGTAAAACCCATGACCCCCTTAACTGTTGAAGAACAAGTTGCATTTGAAGCAACAAACATTTGTCACATCTGTAAAACACCTTTTGGAGAAGATGTAGTTAAGGTGCATGATCATTGTCATATAACTGGTAAATATAGGGGCCCAGCCCATGTTGTATGTAATCTTAACTTTAAAATTCCCAAATTTATCCCTGTATTCCTACATAATTTCAGCTGTTATGATGCACATTTATTTGTTAAAGAGATGGCTGACATTGATGATGTCAATGGTATTGATGTTTTACCTAATAATAAAGAAAAATATATAAGTTTCAGTAAAAGCGTGCTAGTTGATCAGATACAGAATCAATCCCGTTTTGAAAATCGGTTCATTTTTCAACATTCAAGGTCAAGGTCACACCGCGTGACCTTGACCTTGGTTGTTCCAGGAGGACGTTCCAGAATCGGCTAATGTGACCTTGACCTCGACTGCTCAAGGAGAAGGTTCCTAAGTAGGCTAAGGTCACACCAAGTGACCTTGACCTTGAATGTTCATAGGAGTTCGGAATCGGCTAAGGTTATGGCGTGTGACCTCGACCTCATGAATAAGGTCACGCAGCGTAATCTTGGCCTCGAGTATTCAAGGTGTAGGTTTCAGAATCAGGTAAGGTCACGCCGCATGACCTCGATCAAAAAAACAACAAATAAAATAAAATAAAATAAAATTTATTATACTATTATATAGTTAACTATTAAAATTGTTAATTTTGACCCACCCAACATCTACAACGGTTAAGATAGAACTAAGATTAAATATTAAAATTGTTAATTTTAACCCACCCAAAGGTTAAGATTGAACTAATAGAAAATGAAAAGATTAAAGCTTGTGTGGATCTCTTCAGCCTTTAACTTAAGTTAATTAAGTTTGCAGACCTTGAACGAACTCAGTCAGAACAATGTGATTAGTTTCACTCTTCCTTTACTAATGTACTTTTTTTGAACATTACAATTTATTATACATATGTTTCGTGTTGTGTTGTAAAAATTATGCATCCCTGTACATACATACATACAGATACATACATACATACATTATATGTTTCTTTTTTTAAACAAAGTTTGCAAGGTTGATGTTGAAATGTAGGTTATTAATTTTAGATGACAAGTGACCTTGGAACATAACCCCCTCTATTTCTTGAAAGGTATATAAATGCGGAGCTTGCTGTCATTGTTAGTTCATAATAGGTACCATAGTGTAATATTGTGTTTACACCAGACATATTCAAAAGTAAGTATTTTTCCTCTATTTTTCTATATATTTTTCCTATATTTTTTCTATTCTTCGAATGTTTCATAAAAATATATCAATAACTTTTTAATTGTTTTTTATAATTATACAGTGTCAGAAAAAAGTCAACATCAACAACAATTTGGAAAAATTAGGCAAAAGAGGGCGACAACATCAGCTGATATAATGAGTTTATCAAAAAAGGGGAGACAATCTCAAATTAATGAGCATCACGACACTATAACAATTCATCAAAGCGATAAGCCTCTATCCATTGACGAGATGGGTCAAAACTTCAATGACTATTCAATCAATGGAGATAATAATATTCAAAGTCCTATTGACGAGTATATTCAGAAAGTGAACAGAGCCCCACTATATTCAGAGTCGGTGTACTTTTTAAATAAAAGCCACACAAAATGGTTGGCTGTGGGGTTATTAGCCGACCTGCACTTTGAACCAGTAATAAGAATAATGGGTAAAGGTCAGTGTATAACGTTAAAGCAAACCGAGTGGAACAATATGTTGTGTCATAAATCCACAATAACGAATGGTTTCGGAAGTCAAACTTCGTTAAATTTAGCTTTCTCTGGTATTACATTTTCTTGCGATTGGATTGAGAATATTCGAAAAGTTTTAAAATTACAACGAGGTATTGAACATCTACTCCTGGCATATGATTCTGTTCACGAACTATGGAAGATTAGTGATGTGGTTTCTAATCGCTTAGAATTGCTAAAAAATTTGAACTACAAAAGCTATTACGATGAAATTATTAACGCAGTGTCTTTAATGTGTGATGATGTTAAACAATGTGTAATATCGGTACTAAATGGTGCTATCTGTGAACAAAGTTGTATAACAAAAGAAATACTGGTTTATGGTATAGATAAGATTATGTGGGACATAGATTTACGTAAATTGTTGTTAACATGAGGAAAGTAAGATTTTGTGAAGAAAATAATAAAACATATCTTATGTATACTTGGTCATACGCGTATACGCAAAGTAGAAAGGGTGATTGGGGGCAAGCTTATTTAGAAAATGTTAGATTTAATAATAGAATTAAAATTATGAAAATAATATTAGAACCATATTTAGGTCTATATCATCGAAATAAAGTGTATGATGAACGATTTAAACATAGTATTTAAGCAGTAAGATTAGTCATTTATCATCGATATGTAAGTAATTGGAAATAAATATGTGTTATTGAATTTAAAATTTTAGTTTCATTACAGATATCCAACCGTGCAGAGTTAGTTAAAAACCCTGTTTAATATATATAAATAATGCATTGTAGAGATCAATCGAAGTATAGTAGTACTCGNTATTTAAATGAAAAAAAAATAAACTTACTACTCATCTCTATTTAGTTAACTGTACTCGAAGATGATTGATTACTTGTTTACTTACTACTCAAATTGAATGTAATATATAAACATTTCATATATGTTTATAGTATAGAAACGATTTTTATACAAAAGTAGTTATGACCTAATAAACACAAGTGAAAGGTAAAAACTAACAACATATATCAACATATTTTTTTGATAGTGGTGATTTTTTAATACTTTGAAAGCAAACAGATGAAAAAATGATAGTTTTTATATAAATTATTTTTATAAGAAATCGTATATAAATACATCACCTTAAAAGATACGTCAGTTCAAGAAATAACACCAATAGCAACAGCCANATTTTTTTGATAGTGGTGATTTTTTAATTCTTTTGAAAGCAAACAGATGAAAAAATGATAATTTTTATATAAATTATTTTTATAAGAAATCGTATATAAATACATCACCTTAAAAGATACGTCAGTTCAAGAAATAACACCAATAGCAACAGCCAACCACATAGAGAAGACCATGGATAGTCTAAGATTATTGAACAACACATCTAACGGATTTAGAAAATTCAGCCAATAATAACATCGAGTGTAAAACATTCATGCGCTACTAGATTAAAACGTTAGTTTGCTTTTTGATGGGGAAAGAAATGAATTTTTAAGAAAAACAAAATACTATCGTAAAAAAAATGTTTTTAGGATCTCAACAACAAAAAAGAAATTTTGGCATTCCATTTAAAAAAAAGTAGACAGTTGCCATTTTGAAATAATTCGTCCAATTGAAAAGATGATATCACCATCGTGCAGAGAATGTCCTAAAACATATTACTGCCAAATATTTTGAAAGTAGTGCCCATAGTGTGGCTACAAATGTATATTAGCATCTCATTACCAGCTCAATTTACTAATCAAGTTAAGTATATCGTCTGATAAAATTTACTACGTGAATTTATCATTGCGTTTCTACTTTTAAGAAAATATTTTCTTGTGAAAAATGTCAACAAGTGTTTTCATTGAAATACAGTTTGAATCGACATATGCGCAATAAGCATTGGTTGAAACCTTATATTGATAAGAACACAAAATTACGTCAATCCGCTTAAAATGATTTCAAAAGACGCTGTGCGGAAGAGGTAGGTCAAAACCCGGAGCACGCAGTCTAATCGCAAAGTTTTTATTGAAACCTTTTCGGCAATTCAAATGGAGCGACTTCTTGTTGTTTACAACAAACCTACATACGTTGGTTTTACATTTTTAGAAATTTCAAAATTGTTAATGTATGAATTCTATTATAATTTTTTTTGTTATATGGATACGGACAGCTTCACTGTACATATTAACACCGATGACCTATATGAAGATATTAAATTAAATTTAGATAAATTTGACACGTCGAATTACCGTCTGGATAATAGTAATTATGACGGACTTTATCGGGTTACGATCGAAAATGTATGCAAATCGTGTTATTGATGGTCGTGTTACAAAAAAAGCTAAAGGTGTGAAAAAAGCTGTTGTGAAACATAAAATTAAATTTGAAAATTATTTCGATTGTTTAACTTTGAAAAACACTATGTTTGCAAAACAAATCTTATTTAGAAGTTGTAATCACACCGTATAGACGGTATTACAAAATAAATTGCTTCTTTCACCATACGATGCCAAGAGGTTTATTAAAGATGATGGTATAGATACGTTAGCTTGGGGTCATAACCGTACTGTTAGTAGTAGTAGTGAGGGTACATTACCAACTCTTAAACCTTAAACGTTAGCTTTTTTTAATATACCTACTTTTATCATTTAAGAATCTTTATCAAAGAAAATAATCTTGATGGTGTTAATATCATATTGGAAAAATAATTATCCCAAACCAGATTTTAAAATATCGAAATCTACACCTAGTTCTTAGAGATAAACTCAATTTTGATTATGTTGTTAAGCAATCATTAGAATCGCTTAATTGTTACGAGCGAAACAACAACAATGAATTGAACGTTAAAGATCTAGAATCACTGACTAGTAACGTAAGTATTAAATTTACTGATGAAATGTATAAAAAATATTTATTAACTAATTTATTCGCTGATAACGAAGGAATTGTTTCTATTAATAATCTTATATGTAAATACCGTAATTTGCGTTATTATTGTGATAAATAGATTTGCGATGCATTGTATTGTGCAGACAATGAATTTGTAAAAAGATGTATACAAGTTTTCAAAGCACTCAACTATGAATTTAACTTTGAGCCGCTGTCGCGAATATCACACCAGAATATAATGGCATGGTTAATAAACAGCATGAGAAATGGAGTTAAAGGGAAACTAGTTGGATGGCAATCCGTTCCCGATTCGGCACATTGGCCCGCTACAAACAAACGCGATTATGATTAAACAATATAAAGAATTACGCATTCTGAGTAACGAGACAGCTGCAAATTTCCTTCAACAACTTGCAACAGAAGAATGGTCTGATGTTTATTGTAATGGAAACGACTTCAATATTCAATTTGATGGTTTCATGAGTATATTTCTTGGACATTTCAATACATATTTTCCATTAAAAAAAATACCTCTTAATAACCGCAAAAGAATTTTTAGCAAAGACCTGCTCGCTCTACGAAATGCAGTAAATGCATTAAGTACAGCAACAAACTATGATGATAGTTTTAAACCTACTTACATTCTCTATAAAAAAACTACATGATAATACTCTTACATCAGCAATACGTAAGTTTTATGACGATAAAATAATAGACGCATCAAACAAAAACCGAGAAGTATGGCGTATTATAAAGAGTCATACAGGAAAATCATTCAAAGAAACTCTACTTTAAGCAAAATTAATGAAGGTCTTAAACTTTTTAAATGAGTTTATTAATTTTAATTTAACTATCAAAGAACAGAAATCAAGATGCGTTCTTAACGCCAGTCGGCTGCAGAGTGTCGAATGCATGTCGAATGTCGCTTCCCCGCTCAACCGATTCGGCTCTTCTCAGATTCGCTCCAGGGGAAGGAATTCATTCTTCTCAACACCCGCGAGCGAACAGGGTCGACGCAACTTTAGCGACACCGCTAACACTACCTAACTTCGATAATATACAATTCCTGGAACTGTGCTTTCTTCTAGCGCTGTAAATATTTCAATCCAACCCAATTCATTTTATTTTTTCATCATCTGGTACTGATGATATACCAATCGATTTCCTAAAAAAGTATCCCGGATCTTATCTAAAACCCTTAACCTATTTGATAAACAAGTTATTTGAGAATGGAATATTTCCGGATTACCTCAAACAATCCAAAATTCGACCGATTTACAAGAAAGGAGACGTCAACGACTTTCATAATTAGCGACCTATAAGTCTCTTAACTGGTTTTTCAAAAATTTTCGAAAAAGTAGCTTACGACAGACTTTATAAGTTCTTCATGAAGTATGATTTGATAAATATACACCAACACGGTTTCCTCAAAAACAGAAACGTTGAAACTGCACTGCATGATTTCACGGAACAAATATATAACGCTCTTGAAAATAAAGAAGTGCCCTGTGGAATTCTGCTTCACCTGACTAAAGCTTTCGACAACATACATCATAATCTATTACTATGGAAATTGGAAAGATATGGAGTGAGAGGTACTGCTTTATCCTGGTTCAGATCTTATTTCTCTAATAGGAAACAGTTAGTCCATTTAAACGTCGCTGGGGCTTCAGTACAGTCCAAAAATGTTATAATATCTAAAGGTGTACCACAAGGGAGCATTTTGGGTCCTTTACTTTTTGTTATTTATATCAATGACTTACATGAAATAAAAGGTAGTGTTCATAATAATATTCTAACAATAAATTTTGCGGACGATACTAACATATTAATCACCGGAAAATGTTTAAATACAATAGTGGATATAGGAAATGAATACCTACATGAGCACTTACACTTACATGAACGCATTTAAAACTAACAATCTACTAACCATATATGGAACATATATACCGGGTGATTCAGACCACCCGTACCAGGAATTTTTCTCAAAAACGCGATTACCTGTAATAAAGAATATGATAATAAAATTGTATATGAAGAATCCAACGCACCAGTTTTTATCACGCTGGTAACACCGGAAGTTGGTGTTAATGACATCAACTTAAAAATTTTTCAAGTTGTCATATGAATAACTTCAGCATTTTTTATAATACATGTTTAGTTATCATTACTGTAATCATCAATAGCACTTAAATGTTGCATTAAATCTAAGAAGAGTTAAAGCAAAAGTTGTTTATTTTTAAAATATCTATTCTACGATAAAACTTAATTCATATGACAACTTGGAAAAATTTTAAGTTGAACTTCCGGTGTTGCCAGTGTGATAAGAACTGGTGCATTGGATTCTTCATATACGATTTTATAATCATATTTTTTATTGCAACTTCTTAGGTAATCGCGTTTTTGAGAAAAATCCCTGGTACGAGTGGT